TCTTCATAATGTGAACTATAATTTTTCTCCTAAAGCTTTTATTATAGAATGTGGGCCTTTTAAAACGCAATGTATATGATGTGGAGAGGGTATTAAACTTCATGCCCAAAGATGAGGATTGAACCAGATAAGATATTTTTGTGTGCTTGAATTTCAGAGTGCCCTCTTGTTTTATGTTGTTTTAATTTTATTTTATTTGAGACAAGTTTTCCCTGTAGCCCCAGCTGGCCCAGAGCTTTTATTATAGAATGTGGGCCTTTTAAAACGCAATGTATATGATGTGGAGAGGGTATTAAACTTCATGCCCAAAGATGAGGATTGAACCAGATAAGATATTTTTGTGTGCTTGAATTTCAGAGTGCCCTCTTGTTTTATGTTGTTTTAATTTTATTTTATTTGAGACAAGTTTTCCCTGTAGCCCCAGCTGGCCCAGAACTAGCCATGTAGACCAGGCTGGTCTCATTCTCACCAGTGTCCACCTGATTCTGCCTCCTGAGTGATGGAAATGAAGGCATGTGCTACAACTGTTGGCTCTGGATGGAGCTCATACACAGCAAATAAATTTAGGCTCTAATAACAAGAAAGCCTTGAGTATTTGCTGTCCTCAGTATAAGGGAATGGTAAAGACTGTATTGTATATCAGTATGTTACAGTTGAGCACATTGGCCAGTGACAAAACTTTAATATAGTTGTATTGAATTGTATATCAACATATTTTGACAAAATTATAACATTTTTAGTGACTTTAAGAGATATTTTAAGGAATTTTTATGATTTATTATTTCTTTCTTTGCATTTTCAATTATAAAATGAAGTTTATTCCCATTCTCCATATTCAAAATTCCAAAGTAAAATATTTTATTTTAAAAGAACTTGGGGGTTGGGGATTTAGCTCAGTGGTAGAGCGCTTGCCTAGCACGTGCAAGGCCCTGGGTTCGGTCCTCAGCTCTGAAAAAAAGACAAAATAAAATAACTTGTTTCTCTGTTTAGTCTTTTACAGCAGCTGCCCAAGCCAAATGCTGTTCTCCTGAAAAAACTTTTTGAAGTGCTACACCACATTGAGAGATGCTCTTCAGAGAACCCATGGCATCTTACAACTTATCAGTGTGTATAGCACCAGCTATTTTGTGGATACCTAGTTCCTGCAACCCAACATTAACAAATGAGTTTTCTCAAACGGTAATGATAGCTCATATATTATGCCTGTGATGTACAGTCCTCACTGCAAACTAGGAATTCAGGATAACTTTATGAGTCCATTTAATATGATGGCCGTCTTAGAACAGTATTCTTCTGGAGGAGAGGGATCATCTGTGACGTTTGGGAAGGGAAGGGAGATTGTTAGGGATGTCAAGTTAGCAAACTGCTGCTTTCCCATTGGGGATTTAGAATCTAGACTGACTAAATCTAGAGAGGAAGTAATGTGAGATGACAGGGCAGAACATGGGTTCTGGGGTTCAACAAGCCAAGGTTGAACATTTGCTGTCACCATACAGTGCCCTGTAAACTACATGTTTTTGAAATCATTTCTCATATAAACTGTGGCAGTGTGGAGCAGTCCCAGCTCCTCTGTCATCGCCCACAGTTATTGAGGGGCTGAGTCAGTGTGGGGAACCTTGTCTTCATGACACAAGCTTTTCTCAGCCAATTTCAGGTCATGTAGAGAAATACTTGGCTACCATTTTCTGTGCTAACTTCGTTTTCAGTACTATGAAAATTTTCCTGAAACTATTAAGTGTAAAGATGAATGTTCCTTTTCACTGCTATGTGATGGGGTTTCCAATATATCATTGATTTGACCCCACTGCTTTTGAGAATCTCATTAGAGGAGGAGTGCCTAACCTAAGAAAACTGCTCACCTCAGTGTGGGGGATTGCGTGTACAAGACAGGTAGGGTGGGGCTGCACATTCTCCTGCAATGGCACATCCCCAGTGTCCACATTACCTCCCTCGTGGCCTTACCTCTTAAAGTATATCTCCCAATATGGACCTCCTCAGGAGATTTACCAACTAACTAGAGCATTTTTCACATTTGTTACTGGAAGAAAAATTCAAGTAAAAGATCGTAGGGCAGCCTAATTGAACTACAAATGGTTTAGTAAACCAGCCCGAGCTCCAGCAGACAGCGAGCCTAAGGCACATCAATACATGGAGGGATTGCTGTTGCACTGCCTGGCATGTTCTATCCACCTGTTCCCTTCCTTCACAAAATATCAGAGAAGCTCTACTTAAAGAGTTAGATAACCACTTAAAAGCTGAATTTTGCATATTTTGAATATGTAGCTTTATAAATCCGAATAAAGGAACTTATATGCTCACTCCAAATATTCAGGGAGAAAAGCTACTTCTTTTACTCTTTGCTATGACAAAATATTTGGCAAAGGTGCTGTAAGAATTAAGAGTTTTAGGGGCTGGAGAGATGGCTCAGTAGTTGGTAGCACTGGCTGCTCTTGCAGAAGACCCAGGTTTGATTCCCAGCACCCACGTGATGGCTACGAACCATCCTTAACTCCAGTTCCATGGGAATCCGAAGCCCTCTTCTGACCTCCACGCCATTGCATGACACGGGTGCACTCATTGTATGCAGGCAATACACACACTCATACACATAAAATAAAAACAATAATGAATAAATACTTTTTAAAAGAGTTTTGTTGTGGTTCACGACTGTGGGTGACACAGTACATCACAGGGGAACGTGAGGTCGTTGAGGATGAGGTGTCCTGGTCACACTGTCTATGCAGGGAGCAGCAAAGGGAAGAAAATGGGTGCTGCCTGGCTGCTGCTTTTACCCACTTTTTATTTATTCAGACAGAACAGTCAAACGATTGTGCACCCATCTGCAAGATGAGTCATCTTTCCTGAACTGACTCTAGGAACAGCCTCTCCGGCATGCCTGTAGATATATCTCTCTTTGTTTGAAAATGAAAAGTGGTAATGAAATTTAGTCATCCTTTGGGACCTTGAATATTATCTGATAGTATTTGTTGAAGTACATTGATGATATTTTAAGACGTGTGCCCCTTATTTTAAACATCATAATTCTTTTGAAGGAAAAAATTGCTCTTGTAACTTGTAGCAGTTGAGATGTCTCACAATTGTGGATTTCACAGTTTTCTGACTTTCAACACTTTGTTTTAACTGTGATATACAACTATGCCAAATTCCCAAGATGTCCTGTGTTTTCCCTTTTCATTACAGATTTGTCTTGTAGAATTTATCCTTGATAACTACAGCAAAGTATTTGGAGAAGACAATGACTCAATTGGGCAGGAGAGCGCAATGATTTGTAACAGTACTGAGACTCCTCCTGATACCCAGAGTAATTTCACTGATTTTGAGGCTGCGCATGCTGCCTTGGATCTTGAGAACCGCAGTCCTAGCAAGAATATGGGACATAGTGAATATGCCCCAAGAAAACTGACACAGTGGCCGGGACTCCATCTTCTCCTGAGGAGGGAGGCCTCGTAGGTAAGAGAAGGTTTTGTACAGACGTGAAGTAAGAGGCAGGGAAAGAAGACACCTTTGAACTCAGAAACCCGCTAACACAGTCATAGTGGCCTCAGGAGACATCATGTTATAACAGGGCTTGAAAACTACTTTCAAGAAAACTGTTCATGAAATCTCTACATGTATGTGGATCGTGTGTCCACTGAACTTTGTGTGCACTGCCCACCATCACATGTTGTATTTCTTTTGTCCTCTTTCCC